TGCCCTTTTCCTTTCCTACTTGGCGAGATTTGACTTTACATTCGAGGATCTTTTTGTGGTCTTTGTCCAGTTTTAGTCTGGTGATAACCACCTTGCTGGGGTGAATGCCCACATGGACAGTTGTGCCATTAGCCTTCTCCCGCTGCACTCGTTCAATGTAGATGACGTATTTCTTCCTGTAAACCTGGACCACTTTGCCAATCTGCTGCCCTTTGTAGTGCCCTCGTAAAACCTGAACTTCGTCGTCCTTTCGGATGGGTATGGATAGAACGTTGTACTTCTGTCTCAGCTCTTTAGAAAGAGGAGAAGACATAATTTTCCTGCGAATGTGGGAAGGCGCATTGAAATGCCTTTTTCGATTCTTGCTTCGGTCAGAAGTCACAAAGGAATTGAACTTCATTTTGGCCGCCGGCCGAAGTTGAGTGATAGATATTTTAAAGTGAGTTGCATTCAACATGATTGGGAGCAGGAAATCATGAGTTTTATTTTGGAAATGTTTATTTTGAAATACCTGAGACATCTGAGTAGAGCTGTTGGGTATGTAGTTAGGAAATGAGTTGGGAGCTAGAATGAGTGGTCTGGGATGGAGATGTGGGAGTAGTTGGCACATGGGTGGTATGTAAAATCATGAAACTAGAAATTGCTCACAGGTGGGAGAAGTGTAGAACAGCATAGGATCAAGCCTTGGAACTCAAGCATTAGTGGAAGAAGATGACAGCAAAAGAGACACAGAAGTAGCCAGAATGGTGGGAATGAAACAGGAAAAGTATTTGACAGAATCTAACATCCAGACCTGATTAAAGACACTTTGTAAACTAGGAATAAAAGAAAATTTCCTTAGCATGATAGCATCGTACTCAGTGATGAAGCGCTTGAGTACTTCCCCTAGGATCAGAACCAGACAAGAATGTCCTGTTCAGTGTTGTCCTGGAGGTCTTAGCCTTAGCATTTAAAAAGTTGCCATTGATATATGGTGGTGGTGCCTAGTTTGTGGCTCTTTGCAAATTTAATGAGCAAGGATAGTGACTCACATTAATTTAGAAGTGAGAGTAAATATTTCCCTCTAGTTGTTTCTTAATCATTTATAGGTCACTTTAGGTAGGCTGTTCATGTCTTACCTCCATTTTCTACCAGTATTTTAGTGTTCTCCTTAGTGATTTGTCAGACATTATATACTTCATCTGTCATGTATACTTAATCACAAATGTAAGCAGAGAATTTTCTTTTTTTTGGTGGGGCCAGGGTTGGTACACAGCATGTGGGATCTTAGTTCCCTGACCAGGGATCAAATCCGTGCCCTCTGCAGTGGAAGCATGGAACCTTAACCATTCTAAAACAAGAAATATTTATTTGTTCAGTAAATGCCTAATTAAACACACTCTGTTAGTCCGATCATTTTTAATTTAACTCATTATCCATTTGGGAATGATCTTATTTTGCACATAAATATAAGTATGAGGTTCAGACTTTGACTATTTTTTTCCAAATAGCCCATCAAATGTAAAAATGGACCATCCCCCCATCACTGATTTGTGATGTCTCTCTTGTCATATATTGACTTCTGCTTTATGATAGGGTGTGTTTTTAGATCATTCTTTTCAGTTACTTTAGCTTTGTATTACATTTTAACTCTCTTCATTACTCTTGATCCTCTAGCCCATGTATATATTTGCTGCTTTCAGCCATTAACTATTCCAGATTAATTTGTGAATAAATAGGTCAGTCCCCCCACTCCTAAACATGGACTGTGTTTCTATTTATTCAAGTTTTTTTTTTAATAATGTACTTAGAAAAAGTCACTTTTGATATCTTGGTCCTTTAGGTTTCTTTACAGATTTAATTCCACATATTTCCTATTAATTGTTTTCATGAAGAGCTTATACTCCCTTCATTTTATGTCCTGTTTTCTGGTATATAGGAATGTTTCTCATTTTTATATATTTACATTGTCTCTAGCTACTTTAATGGCACCCCACTCCAGTGCTCTTGCCTGGAAAGTCCCATGGACAGAGGAGCCTGGTAGGCTGCAGCCCATGGGGTCGCTAAGAGTCAGACACAGCTCAGCGACTTCACTTTCACTTTTCACTTTAATGAACTCTTATTAATTCTAAGAGGTTTTATAGTTGACTTACTTCAGTTTTCTAGATAAACAAAGATGTTCTACATTGAAAAGTAATTGTCTACTTTCTAAACAGCCTTTTCTTATTTCCATTTCCCACTTTATTTCATTAGCTAGAAAGACCATTATTAATTAACTAATGATGACAATAGGTATTCTGATCAATAACATCTTGATTTTTAAAGTAAATGATTCTAGAGTTTTCCCTACTAAGTGTCATGTTGGATGATTATTCAAGGTATTATTTTAAGTATCTTTCTAATCCCAATACATCAGAAAATAGTATTTAATTTATTGTGTCCCACAGTTTTGTAATCAAAACAAGAAAGTTCACCTTAGACAAGATGCTTTTCCTCCATTATACTGTTAAAGATTACAGAACAAAGAGAGCAATTTTCTCTTTGTAAGGGAAAATTATCTTAGTATTTAAAACATATAATTAATTCCCTGCCGCTGTTTACTTGGCCCTCTTAAGAAACATGTTCTTCAGCCAGGTATTCTTACAAGGTCTTGCTCCACTCTGATTCATTGATACCATTAGTGAATTAATGAGTTAACTAATGAAGATTAGTCCACAATCTTGAATCACCCAGTGGGAAACAAAGGGAAGAAGGAAAAGAGGTCAAAGAACAAGCCTGGAAATGATGAAAATCGGGGAGACCATGGTATAACACATGGGAAAGCTAGGATACTTCTGACAAATAATTTATTGTCCAAACCCATTCACTTTTGAAAGTAGTGGGCTGTTAATAGTAACTGGGTTGCCCTAGTCCTCAAAACCTACAGTCTATAATTGATAGTTTCGATAATCCATCCCTTCCAGTTAGTTGTGAGGAAAGAGGAATTAGTTGTACCAGTCAAGTGGGTCTGATTCTTCTTTAGTTTTTTGACTACAGTCTTTGAGGGGTAATTTGATAACCTCACTCTTGGATCCCCCTCCAATATATTGGGAATTACACACATGACCTGAAGGCATGTGGTTTCTGTAGCACCAAAAAACATAATCCCGAACTCCTGCCCTCTGGCACAATGCCCAAGTGACTCTATGGTAACTACTGTCCTGTCACAGATCTCAACTCCAGCACCACCCGCTTTCCCTGTCCTTGCTTACCTTCAAAGTTGCATTACTATGAACACATTTATTTCCAATAACCCATAAGCACCTGTACCTAGAGATCTTCCTAGTGATTCTCTCAGCTCTTTTTCAAACTACTTTCATTATTCATTCATTCCGTGAATATATCAAAGGATCTGAAAGGTATTTCTCCAAAGAATACACACTAGGGGTCAATAAGTACGTTAAGAGACAATATCATGAGCCGTCAGGGAAATGGAGATCAAAACCACAGTGAGATATCAGTTCACACCCACTGGGATGCTGTTATTTAAAAAATGGAATAGGGAGAAAGGGAAAACAAGTGTTGAAGATATGAGGAAATTGGAACTCTCACATATGCTGGTGGAAATGTAAAATGGTTCAACTGCTTTGGAAGATAGGCAGTTCCTCATGAAGTTAACCATATACTCCCGCAATTCCATTCCTAGTTATATATAAAAGAACAGTGGAAATAAACACATATGTAATTATTCATAGTATTATTCATAATGACCAAATAGTGGAATTCAGATGTCTATCAGCTGATAATTGAATAAAGAAAATGTGGTAAATTCATATAATGGCATATTATTTGTCAATAAAAAGGGCCAAGTACTGATACACTTTATAGTGTGTATGAACTTTAGAAACATGTTAAGTGAAAGAAGCTGGTTCCAAAAATGCACATATTAATATGATTCCATTTATAGGAAAAGTCCAGAATAGGTAATTCATAAAAATTTACCAAAATAGCTAAATTCAAAAAAATCACAGAGTAAGTGGTTGCTGGAAGATAGGATTAGGGGAAATAAGGAGGGACTGCTAGTGGATATGGGGTTTCTTGGAGTGATAGAAGTGTTCTAAAAATGATTGTGGTAATGGTCACAAAACTGAATGTACCAAAAATCTTTGCATATTACAGTTTAAATAGGTGAATTGTTTGGTATATAAATTATATCTCAGTAAAGCCATTTTTTGTGTGTTTTTTTTTAAAGAAATGACTTATTATTTTAGAAGAAATAACTTTTAAACTTAATAAATATTACACTTTCTTTGAAGTTGTATGTCAAGTTCAGTATGCCTCAGAAGAACATTTTTCACATACGTAGTTTGAGAACATCCCAAGAGCCTAAAATGCTAAAGTTCATCACAAGATTAAGAATAATGGGTGACTGGAACAAACCTAGGCATCCTACAGTTGGAGTAGTGATGTGCATCTATAAGATCAAGTAATAAAGTTAATGTTTTAACATTCATTTAATGATATGGAGAAGTATTTAAAAGAAAACAAGATAGTCAGTTTTATTAGCATATAATTCTAATTGTGAATTTTTTGACTTGGCACATGTACATGTGTATGTGAGGAGGAAAAAAAGCCTGAAATATAAATGTCAGAAATTGTGAAGAGTTGCTGTCAGAGTGGGGAGATTAGAGATAATTTGTGTTTGTTACCATCCATAGTTCCAGTATTTCCAGTACTGTATTTCTGATGAATTGCTTCTCCATTCATATGTAAAGCCTTTTGTTTAATATGTCTCTGTTTCATCTTTGTAACTGTTTAAGTGGAGCATGTGGTATCATGTGTCCTCATGAAATGCACAGGAGACAAAGCCATAGCCACTCCACCAACCAAAGTATCTGGCTTATTTTATTTTCCTGACTCTGAAAGAGTATACAATGAACTTTAATGTCTTTGCAGGTTATCAATGCTGCATTGGCTTTGGCAGCAAAACCACAGAGTAAACTGGCCCAAGAGAACATGGATCTTTTTAAAGAACAGTGGGAAAAACAAGTCCGAGTTCTCACAGATGCTGTCGATGACATTACTTCCATTGATGACTTCTTGGCTGTCTCAGGTAATGAGCTGATTCCCCTGAGAAGTATGTGAGGATGTGCATAATTACTTTCACCTATGTTACAATAATGGACAATCAAAACACCCCCAAGTCTGGGCAGGTAAATTATTCTAGCAAAAAAAAAAATTATTCTAGCAATAATATTGTGCTGGTTTTCATTTTAATTAAAGAAAACAGCTACCAGTGACTCTAAGCAGTGGGACAGAGGGTTGGAGTTGTTCTGCTTGTGTTGGGGCTGGTCTCAATTTCAGAGGCGTGAATCAGGGAACTGCCTGGAGGAAGTGTTCTCTGTTTGTATAGAGTAAGATTTTGCAGCTGTGACCTGTAAAACTCCATAAGCATTCACCCCTTTTGCTGCTGTTGTGTGTAGAAAAAACACTGATCTGCGTCTGGACTGTGGTTGTTTGTTACAAGCCTGTGATACTTAGGAGATGGGATTCCCAGCATCATCAGCTTCGGTTTCTTTTGTAAAAATTGTGCCCCTTAGAAAGCATCTCTCTCTCCCTTAGAAATGATCATAGTTGAACTGCCTACTTTTGAAAGACTCTGTCTGCATGATGCACAGATAGAAAACAGAGAGGAAATATTTAAGTACCATTTAATTATGAACTTGCAAAAAATAAATCTGGGTAATTCACCTCACAAAAACAGTTGATTTCATTATATAAACATAAACTGGTAATGACATAGTAAATTGCATTCATATAGAAAATGTCTGTCAACTGCAATTCCCTGTTTATCACACAGAGATAAATTTCAATCCATCTCCTTAGGGTTGAGTAAGTATAAATGCATTCTCCATTTAACAGGCCTCTGCTGCCCTTGGCCGCGCTGCTTGCTCTCTGGAGGTGCCAGGCTTCCCGAGGCCAGTGGCTGTGGGCAGTCAGCAGCTGGTCCTTGTAGGGCTGAAACTACCTGTCACCCCAGGGAACCACAGTCTGGAACGTGGGAGATGTGAGTGGCAATGGGGCTTGAAACAGAAGTGGTGCTTAAGTACATGCACAGCACAGTCCTCCAGCAGTGACCTATATAAGGTGACAGTGTGTTCTGCATACCAATGTTCCCCTGTCTCGCTCACTCTCCTTGGGACTGGAGCATTGGCTCTGCTTGAGAGAGTGGGGAGCAGGGAGTCTGTAAATTGCATAACAAGAGGGTGAACCATGCTGCTGCAGGATTGCCAAATTGCAGGTGCTGTTACTTTAAAACAAAAAACCTATTTGCAAGCACATTTTTGCAGGTGCCAAAAATGCAGCAATTGCTTTTTTGGGAAATCTTGGCCTTCTGTTGTTTTTCCCAATGAAATACTGAATTATTCTTTTTCATAGGTTTAGAGAAAAACATTCCACCTTCACAGCACACTTTTAAGCAAACAACAAATTCTGAAATCTAAATGCAAAGCCCCCCTCCGGAGATAGATATTACATTCTTAAACTTACTTACCAAATAAGACTTGGTCTCAAGGGATTTCTAGTCCTCTTACAGCAGAATAAAATGTAATAGAATCAGATGTCCCTCATGCAGCATTCTTCAGATCAGAGAACAAAAGGGATTTTACAGTGGCATGTAGTGGGATCCAGGCAATATCTTTAGGGTATATGACATAAAACAGAAGAACAGTAAAGAGAAATCAGATTTTCTAACAGATAACTTTTGTCTGGTGAATATGTTCAATTTTTATGCAAATATGGGGAAATAGAAGGGTTGACTTGATGGAAAGGAGTTTCGACAGTTTCCATTTAGCAAATAAACACACAGAATAGTTGTCTCAGTCAGGAGGTGGTGGTGGTGCTTTCAGAGCATCTATATTTCAGAGACCCTCATTAGTGTGTTTCTCTAAGGTTTTGTCATAGGCTTGCTTAGTGTCAGGTAATTAATTAATTAACAGGACAAGACTGTTAACTCGAAATTCCTCTGGTTGTCCTGGTGTGCTTTTCGGGGGCTTGGGATGAAAGGAAGCAGGCAGATGCCTGTGTAGAGTGTTACTGGATTGATAAGTTTTGGCATTTAGATTCCTTTATACCCTTACGCACTAACCTCATCCATGGCAGCTTTAGCACTATTTATGTGGCAGATTAGAGATATCTCCCCATCTCACCCAGCAGACTGGCTTTCGTTGAGAGGAATCCCATTTTCTAGTGTACAGGCACCCAGTGGTCCCCAGCTCACAGCCTCTTGAGAGGCATCCCCCCAGGTTGGACAGCAGGTGTCTGTAGCAGCCATGTGCTTTTCAGCAGTCTTTGGAGCAGAAGCCAAGGTCTGCCCTCTCTGCCATTTGGCATCGCCCAGAGCCACAGTCGTGTTCTGAGTGGTGCTCAGCAAAGTGGGCATGTTTCTGAGTAAGGGGCTGCTGGGCAAGTGCCCAGCACAGGCTGTGGCTTAGGGTTGGTGCAGTTCATGAAATTTTACCTAATGAAAAGTAAGAATGCAACTTGACTCCTTGGAGTGTTGGTGTTTTCCCGTGTCCCGGGATTTTGTGCGCTTTGGCAATGGGATAGGTTTGGAGGAATATTTCCAGTAATGAGTTTTCCATCAGTCCCTCTTGAAATCCATGGGGCCTGTGTGTTTGCTGTAGCCCTATCTACTCATGAGTGCCCTTCCAAGGGTAAGTTACTTAGGGGATAGGACTGAAAGGACCCTCTGCTGTTTTAGCTCCATTATTTCTGCATATTCTGTCCCATTGGTTTTAGAAGTTCCCTTGTGCTTATTGTAAGTTATATCCCAAATTTGCAGCTTAAAAAATAATGGTCATATTGTGCATAACTTGGTAAAGCCACCAAGACCCTGATGGCAGTGTTTCATGAGGCTGCAGGGCTCGGGGAACTTGAGTCACTGTGATTCAGATGTGAGCCAGTGGCACTTGAAAATACAGAGGGACATGCAAGCCACTTCCAGGGAAGAGGGAGGGGCACTCGTTTTCCCTAAGCTATTCTATTCAGAATGTTGCCTTGTAAATATTGGAGGTGATTTAGGATGCTACGCAACATTCACTAAACCATGAATATATTTATATGGACTGATTCCTTAAGGACAGTGGTTTGAAATTTCTCAAAGTGATAAAGACTATTTGAATTTCATTTGAATTGTATTTGATAAATGTTTTCCTTGGAAATGCAATTTACTTTCTCATTCGTTTACTCTGCTTTCATGTGGAAGTTTTGATTCCCGCACCCTAACCCCTCCCTTGTTCTTTTATTTTTTTGGGGTTGCAAGTGGTAGGTTAAAGTGGTTATAATTGCGTTTATTGTTTTTTCTTAACCAAGTGGTTTTGGAAACAATATAATGCATTAGATACTTTGGGGCAACAAATAAGAGTAGTAATTTATACTCTTCTTCATTGTCACTATGCCAAAATAATTTGGTCTGATTGGTCTAAATAAAAGGATTTTTGTACCTAGTTTTTTTTTTGTTTGTTTAACTGCAAAACTCCAGGACTGAAGAATACGGTAAGGAAGTGGTGATATTTGATCTCGTGACTCCCATGCACCCTAGATTGAACAAGTCACTAAATACCTCTGTGCCTGGTTTCCACAATAATTGTGATTTTTTTAAAAAAATTAAAAATGTCAAGCACTCAGGCTCTTTTCATAATATTGGAGTACATTCTCTGTATAGAGTATTAATATTATCATCTCTTGTGTATGCATAAGGCTGCACTGATAAAGATACCCAGAGCAAGGGGAGGGCAGGATGGGCCTGTTAGACATTGTGGACCGAGTGTAAGTTCATGCAGGCTTTTTGGAGAATACCAGTTGGCTTGATTCCCAGAGGGCAATTAGGCATCATACATCTACTTTATACACATACGCCTTTTGACTTAGTAATCCCACTGCTAGAAATTTTCCCGAGGGACGGGTACACAGATGTTTGCCGAAGTAACCAATGCAAGGATGTTCACTTCAACCAAAACGCCTAAGAGAAGACTGGATAAGAAAATGATGGCCTCTCCGTCTGTTCAGTAGGGTACAGCACAGCCATTGACATGGCTGAGGTAGATCTGCAGAGGCAGTCCTAGAAAGATTTTCAAATGAAAACCGGGTATATTAATGTCCATAATATGATCCCTTGGAGATAAGAGTGTCGTGTTTGTGTGTGTGTTTCCCTGTTTGAAGCACCTACAGATAAAGACTATATTGAACCATCAAGAGTTTTTAATGGTATCCAGATTGGTGTGTCTACTTGGAATGGAGTTTCCTTAGAAATTCTGTTAAAGATTAAAGTAACTTATGGCTTAAGTTAGTGTGGGTGCATGTGTGTCCAGTGGGAACTCACTTCTCCCTTAGGGCTCAAGTGTAGAGAACAGGTTGGTTGTGTCCTGGGTACATATTGGCCTCAGCTGGCTGGTGCTTTCTCAGTGAGTGTAGAAAATGTTATTTTAGCAGCTTCCTGAAATAGAAGCCTTCCTTGGTGGCTAAAGAATGGCAGGCCCTTCCCTGGTTTGGGTTCGTCTGGAAGAAAACCTGTAAAAATTCAAGAAAATATAAATTGAGTTTTAAAAACTACTTGCCAACATGAAGGTTAATAAATCCTTGGTGAAGTTTGGGCCACTTTGTTTAATGAATGAAAAGGAATGGTGTTCTTTAGTGATTCCAAAAGGTGCTTTCCCACCCCAAGTATTAACAATCCTGAAACTGGGATGAGTCTTGAAAATCAGTGATATGAGAAAACTTTGGTTCATAGTTTAATTAGCAACATTGTTTCTTTTTTATTCCTTCTCTTCCCCTTCTCCAGATGTTTGTTGTGTTAGATTCAGTAAAAGTAGCAATTTTTAGCCTAAGGCCTAGTATGGTAGGCAGGCTCAGTACAAGTCAGCTTAGTTTAAGGGATATGTAGATATTATTTACATATATATTGACATAATAAGTATATAAAAGATGTTTCTGATCTAAACATGGGCTCTAAATCCCTTTATTCTTAAGATGGGTTCATTTTTCTTGTTCAGTCATGTCTGACTCTTTGTGACCCATGGACTGCAGCACGCCAGGCTTTCCTGGCCTTGATGATCTCCTGGACCTTGCTCAAACTCATGTCCATTGAACTCATGTTCATTGAGTCAATTATGCTATCCAACCATCTCATCCTCTGTCATCCCCTTCTCCACCTGCCTTCAATCTTTCCCAGCAACTGTGTCTTTTTCAGTGAGTCAGTCCTTTGCATCAGGCAGTCAAAGTATTATCGCTTCACCATCAGTTCTTCCTGTGAATATTCAGGACTGATTTCCTTTAGGATTGACTGGTTTGATCTCTTCGAAGTCCAAGGGACTCTCAAGAGTCTTCTCCAAACCACAGTCAAAAACATCAGTTCTTCAGCACTCAACCTTCTTTATGGTCCAACTCTCATACCGTCCATGACTACTGGAAAAACCATAGCATTGACTATACAGACCTTTGTCAGCGAAGTAATGTCTCTGCTTTTTAATATGTTGTCTAGGTTAGTCATAGCTTTTCTTCCAGGGAGCAAGCGTCTTTTAATTCCATGTCTGCAGTCGCCATCTGCAGTGATTTTGGAGCCCAGGACAATAAAGGCTCTCTCTGCATTGTTTCCTTATCTATTTGCTGTGAAGTGATGGGACCGGATGCCATGATCTTAGTTTTTTGAATGTTGAATTTAAGCCAGCTTTTTCACTGTATGCTTTCACCTTCCATCAAGAGGCTCTTTGGTTCTTTTTCCCTTTCTGCCATAAGGGTGGTGTCATCTGCATATCCAAAGTTACTGATACTCCTCCCAGCAATCTTGATTGCAATTTGTGCTTCATCTAGCCAGATATTTCACATGATGTACTCTGTATATAAGTTAAGTAAGCAGGGTGACAATATACAGCCTTGACGTACTCCCTTCCCAATTTGGAACCAGTCTGTTGTTTCATGTCCAGTTATGACTGTTGCTTCTTGACCCGCATACAGGTTTCCCAGGAGGCAGGTCAGGTAGTCTAATATTTCCATCTCTTTCAGAATTTTCCATGGTTTGTTGTAATCCACACAGTCAAAGGCTTTAGCATAGTCAATAAAGCAGAAGTAGATATTTTTATGGAATTCTCTTGTTTTTTCTGTAGTCCAACAGATTTTGGCCATTTGATCTCTGGTTCGTCTGCCTTTTGTATATCCAGCTTATACATCTGGAGGTTCTTGGTTCACGTACTGTTGAAACCTGGCTTGGAGAATTTTGAGCATTACTTTACTAGCGTGTGAGATGAGTGCAACTGTGTGGTGGTTTGAACATTCTTTGGCATTGCCTTTCTTTGGGATTGGAATGAAAACTGACCTTTTCCAGTCCTGTGGCCACTGCTGAGTTTTCCAAATTTGTTGGCATATTGAATACAGCACTTTCACAGCATCATCTTTTAAGATTTGAAATAGCTCAACTGGAATTCCATCACCTCCACTAGCTTTGTTTGTAATGATGCTTCCTAAGGCCCACTTGACTTCGTACTCCAAGATGTCTGGCTCTAGGTGAGTGATTGTGCTTATTAAGCACACCATTGTGCTTATCTGCGTCATTAAGATCGTTTTTGTATCGTTCTTCTGTGTATTCTTGCCATCTCTTTTTAATCTCTTCTGCTTCTGTTCGGTCCATACCATTTCTGTCCTTTATTGGGCCCATCTTTGCATGAAATGTTCCCTTGATATCTCTAATTTTCTTGAAGAGATCTCTAGTCTTTCCCATTCTATTGTTTTCCTCTATTTCTTTGCATTGATCACTGAGGAAGGCTTTCTTATCTCTCCTTGCTATTTTTTGGAACTCTGCATTTGAATGGGTATACCTTTCCTTTTCTCCTTTGCCTTTTGCTTCTCTTCTCTCAGCTATTTGTAAGGCCTCCTCAGACAACCATTTTGCCTTTTTGCATTAGCTTTTCTTGGGGATGGTTTTGATCACCATCTCCTGTACACTGTTACAAACTTCCGTCCATAGTTCTTCTGGCACTCTATCAGATGTAATCCCTTGAATCTATTTGTCACTTCCATTGTATAATCATAAGGGATTTGATTTAGGTCATACCTGAATGGCCTCGTGGTTTTTCCCTGTGTTCTTCAATTTAAGTCTGAACTTGGCAATAAGGAGTTCATGATCTGAGCCGCAGTCAGCTCCCGGTCTTGTTTTTGCTGACTGTGTAGAACGTCTCCATCTTCGGCTGCAAGAAATGTAATCAATCGGATTTCAGTATTGACAGACTGGTGATGCCCATGTGTTAGAGTCGTCTGTTGTGTTGCTGGAACAGGATGACCTAAAATTGGTTTATGTGAAAAGTTCAATACATTTTATCTTTTTTAGTAGTGCAGTGGTATAAACTCAAACAAGTCCCCTAATTTTTTAATTTGTTGTTGTTTTTCAGTCATTAAGTCATGTCTGAATCTTTTTGACCCCAGGGACTGCAGCTTCCCTGTCCTTCACTACCTCCTGATGTTTGCTGAAATTCATGTCCATTTGGTCAGTGATGCTGTCTAACCATCTCATCCTCTGCTGCTCCCTTCTTTTCCTTTTGCCTTCAGCCTTTCCCAGCATCAGGGTCTTTTCCAGTGACTCAGATCTTCACACCATGTGGTCAAAGTATTGGAACTTTAGCTTCAGCATTTTTCTTTCCAATGAATAGTCAGGGTTGATTTCCTTTAGGATTGCTGATCTCTTTGCATTCCAAGGGACTCTCTTTAGTCTTTTCCAGCACCACACTTCAAAAGCATCAATTCTTTGGTGCTTAGCCTTCTTTCTGGTCCAACTCTCAACATCCATATGTGACTACTGGAAAAACCATAGCTTTGACTATACAGACCTTTGTCGGCAAAGTGATGTCTCTGCTTTAATATGCTGTCTAGGTTTGTCATAGCTTTCCTTCCAAGGAGCAAGGGTACATGCTGAATTATGGTCTTGTTAGCTGTCTTGTGGTAATTCATCCCCCCCCTTTTTTTTTTTTACTGCTGTATTTTGGCTCCTTGGAAAGATATTTATTTTAATTGATGATTTAAAGAATTTTAAAAAGACTTCTAGAGCAATTTGAGAGGAAGCCAAATTAAGAAGAAGGTACAAAGATTTTTCTATTTTCTGCCCCCCACACATGCACAGCCTCCTTTATCTATATCCCCCATCACAGTAGCACATTCATTACAACTGATGAACCTACAGTTAACTCTGTTCACTCTTGGTAGTGTACAAATGTAGCCATCATTATAGCATCATACAGAGTGTTTTCATTGCCCTAAAAATCCTTTGTCCTCTACCTATTCATTCTTCCCTGCTCCAAAACCTGGCAACTCCCGAGGTTCCTTCATGTCTTTTCATACCTTGATAGCACTTTTTTTTTTTAAGTGCTGAATAATATATCACCGTCTGGATGTACCACAGTATTTCAGGTCACCTACTAAAGAACACCTCAATTGCTTCCTAGTTGGGCAGATATGAGTAAAGCTGCTATAGACATCTGTGTGCAGGTCTTTATGTGGACTTAAGTCTTCAGCTCCACTGAATAAATAACCATGGAATGCAATTGCTGTATCACATGGTAAGAGTATGTTTAGTTTTGTAGGTGCAAGCCATGCCTGCCATCTCTAGGGAACTACAAAATGGAGGGCCCTGTTCCTGGAGCCTAGTGGGGATCCAGAAGCCCACAGGCAGGGCATTGTGGTGGCTCTGTTCTTTGCTGGATCTGCTAAGTACTTCCACTTACCTCTGGCTCCCCTTGAGATAAGAGGAAACGGCATCAGGTCCTCTTGCTTGTTTGAAGTATCTTAGGAGGTAAATCTGTTGCAATCACTCTTCTAGACATTGTGTTATGTAACATGACTGTGTTAGCAGAGGCTATGAGGGAAGGGTAATGACTTTTAGAAGGGAATTAAATCAGGAACCAGTCCTAGATAATGACAGGTCAAAAACACAACTAGGATGCCAAAAAAATGGTCAGCTGAGTTTCTCTGTTTTTATTATTTATAATTGTATTTATGTATAGCTCTGCTGGGTCTTCATTGCAGCACCTGCTTTCCTCTAGTTGTGGAAAGTGGGGGCTTCTCCTGTTGCGGATTGTGGGCTCTCGGGCTTCAGTAGCTGAGGCATGTGGGCTCAGTAGTTGTGGCACATGGACCTAGTTGCTGCGTGGCATGTGGGATCCTCCAGATCAGGGACTAATCCCATGTCTCCTGCATTGGCAGGTGGATTCTTTACCACTGAGCCACCAGGGGAGTCCCCAAATGAGTTTCTTAAACAGATTAACACTTGCTCTAATTGTCCTGACTCTTTCAGAAAAACCAGAGTCAGTAGTCTTTCACCTGTTGTGACATGTACTGTCTTGGTTTAAGGAAGGGAGCACATCTTTACTAGACACTGCTTCTCAGATTTCTTGTGTGTCTTAGGAAAGCTGCTTTCTGAGCAGGAAGGAAATAGCCAGACAGTGACCTGGAGACTTTGTGTCTCTCACCCACCGGCCCCATGTGGTGTGGATAGCCCTGTCATGAGGGCTGTCTGCTGGTGGACTGCACAGTTCCTGGTGGTGAGAACATTCCCTTTCCCATTCTGGTCAGCCCCTGCAGATCCTCATCCATTTCAGTGGCTGCACAGTGCCCATAATTTATTACTCTGTTCCGGGACATTTTGGTTGCTCCCCCTTCTCTATTATAGATGAGGTTAAAGTGGACTCCTCATTCTGGGGTTCCTAGTACCCAGGGTCACGTTTTGTCTTTGAGGGAAGACAGTTCTGGCAGATCTTCCAAATCCAGCTCCATGAGGCTTTTGCCTGCCTTCCAGACCCTTCTCACGTTCCAGAGCTATCCTGATGTCTTGGTCGTTTGTCTGAATACCATTGGCATCTCCTGGAGTGAGGGGCAAGGCACTGGGAATAGTGAACCTTTTTTTCTAATTTAGACTTTGGAATATAAAATCAGTGAAATTGTTTAAGGGAAAGAGAAGTTATCAAGGATTCTGAAAGATGGGCATCTCTGCCTCTCTCTTCTAAACCTGGAATAAAGATGGTTATTCTTGGAGGTGATTTCAGGTCGAGTTTCTGAGAGAAGAGTTGATTCCATGGCTAATCTGGTTTCTTGAGTGAAATGATATGTGTAAAGCTTTTGGCACTGTAGCTGGCACACAGTTAGCCCTTGATGAATGACAGATACCAACTTAAAATTGTCCTCTTCTAGTGGGAAGCCTCCTCCCTCATTCAGCTGTTTTTGTTTGTTCCTCAGAGAATCACATCTTGGAAGACGTGAACAAATGTGTCATTGCTCTTCAAGAGAAAGATGTGGATGGGCTGGACCGCACAGCTGGTGCAATTCGAGGCCGTGCTGCCCGGGTCATTCATGTCGTCACCTCAGAGATGGACAACTATGAACCAGGGGTCTACACAGAGAAGGTGCTGGAAGCAACCAAGCTGCTCTCCAACACAGGTGTGGGGCTCCCTCCCTTACCTGTGCTCCTCACACACAGATGGCGCTGTGGTTAGGAAGTAGGACACTGGGACTCAAGTTTGGTTTTAGGATGAGTTCTGGAAGGTATGTCAGATTTATGAGTCATTGGTCAGCCACAGTAAGAGAGCACACAAACACGCTTCCCTTACTAGTGTCCCACAGGTAGTAATGGGAGTCACTCTGAACTCAGTATTTTAAGATGAACTTCCGAGTTATATCTCTAGTTAGTGAACACACTAAATTAAGGAGGTTCCCGTTCTAGCAAGGCCTCTAGTTAATCCCAATTCAAATTCTCAGCCATCTAAATCCTGTGATGCAGAATCTAGCCAGAGACAAAGAAGTAGATTCAAGTCTTTGTAAAATATGGCATTCAATTTATTTGAACCATAAATACCTCTCACATAGGTAGAAGCAGAGGCTCTTCATCAGACACTCTGCCTCTCTCCATCTGACTGAGGGATTTAGGAGGTCTGGTGGTGATGTTATCGGCTCTCTTCTCCACAGTCATGCCACGTTTTACTGAGCAAGTGGAAGCGGCTGTGGAAGCCCTCAGTTCAGACCCCGCCCAGCCCATGGATGAGAACGAGTTTATCGATGCCTCCCGCCTGGTATACGATGGCATCCGGGACATCAGGAAAGCAGTGTTGATGATAAGGGTGAGTAACTGCATTTCAGATGTTTTAACAGCTTTCTTCTTATCATTTGCTAAACTTGAGCAATGCATCATTCTGGAACTCAACAGATGTGTTGGCAGTATATTAAAACCATGAATCTAAGAGCTTTTAGAAGGAGATATGTTTAATTACGTTGTCTAAAATGACTTTTAGTTGCAAGTTAGAGCCCAAACTTGGGCTGAGAAAAGGGGTCATAGTATGAGTTGAGGCTTCCTCTTGAGTTAAAGGGCAGTGACAGAAAATAAAGGTTCGTCAGTGAATTTCAGAGAAGGGAGTATTTCCTTTATGCAGGTTGAAGCTGTTCTTTACATGGAGCACTCCTCGCCTCAGAGGGGTGGCAGGCAGGCAGGGTCTAGAGCCCCAGGGTGTCGAGGGTGAGGATGAGGGGCATGCAGCCCTTGGTGCTGCTCCTGATCTCGGGGCCAAATGTCGGGCCCTCTCACCGTGGCTGAAGGGAAGTGCCACCTGCTCTGGGCCCCATTTGACCTGTCCTCTGAGCCAGCAGCAGTTCTCACCATCTGAGACAGTGTCTGGGATCCCCGGAGGTGGGCGTGAACAATGGGGTTTTGAGAAACCACCACCTCTTCTGTGATCATCCCATGTGCTAGGCTGGGACTCACATAGCAGTTGATCCGTCACACGCTGTTCTGAGCATGAACGTGTTGCTCTGGAACCTGAGAGCAGGACCTGTGCCAAGCTCTCCTGGGGTCACCTGGATGCCCCCAGGCTCAGACCAGCCCTGACGTAGCCACAGAGCCAGCATTTGGAACGCAGGCTTGCTGAGTAGACGGCTTCTGGGCTCTGCTGACAATCTAGTCGTGTTGGGGAGTTTCGTTACACCTTCATGGTTTGCTAGTCAGACCTCCCAAGGTGGGCAGGGTTCTGTCCCACTTTTTACCCCCTCAGCTGGAAACAGAGGCCATTCCTAAGGTAGTTGCATCAGGCTGGATGCATTCTGTATGCAACGTAGAAACACCTGGGCATTACTGCACTTCTCTCAGGTTAAGGAGCAGAGAGAGTGGCTCAAGGATTGTACGGCTGGCTATTCTGCAGGCCCAGGGTCACCTGCACGTATTGGGGGTTGGGAGGGGATCTGGGGGAGTCTGTTGCTTTCTTCACCCCTGCTGCTGTGCTGGAGAGCAGCCCATGCTCAGGGAGGCCTGGCCTCCAGAGGTGCGAAGGGATCCCCGGGTCAAGCGCACCAGTGGTGGCAAAATGCAGCCCTGTTTTTCCAAAGTTCTTTGCATGCTGACAGAGAATAGAAGAAACATTAATAATCATGAGTTGTTGAGTGTCTGAGGTTAATGCCTTTGGGGTTTTAAATGAGCTGGCACTGCACACACCCCAGGATGCCTGCAAATATAGGGCCTGTTCTGTAGAAGCAGGGTTCCTCCTCACATCTGAGAGTCTCAGCAAGTTCCCTTGTCTCTTTGAGATGCAGATGATGGTGTTGATATCTTTGATGGGATGAATTGGAGATAACATGTTCAGGTCAAGGCCTGGCACATAGTAGCTGTTTCTTGCATGCTTACTGCTGTGTTGGAGCGTAAGTACGACAGAGGCCCTGGCAGGTGTGGTGAGATGGAACCTGGGTGTGGTCACCTGGGATGGCTCAGAGAGGGAGGACAGGTAGAGCTCAGCAGCCTTGGTTTATCCTCCTTTTTGCCCTGATTTAATTCAGGAGCCATCCTTCCAGCCCCAGGGCCTCTTGGTTTCTTGATGTCTTGTCCTCCCCTGCACTCAGCCTCTGGCCTACTCTTGCTTGTTCCTTGTCATAACCAGCATCTCCATCAGCCCTTCGGTCAGCTGCTCCCTTTAGTTCTGTGACTCCCAACAGTGCTTTGAGTCCATCAGGATCTTCAGCCGGTTGATCCTCCCCACTTGCAACCCTCACTCCTATTCCAGCTTCTGTTTCATCAGTAGAATCTCTTTTGTACCCTTTTACTCCCCTTATTTGCCTTTCAAAATACAACCCTAGTGAAATGCTGTCTCCTGCTGAACATAGTGCATAGAAGTAGAGTCATCTGACTGCAGGATGGGGTCCTGGGTCACTATTGGTGCTGCACAACCATAGAGTCTGGGAACAGTTCATACCTTCCTGCTTGCCTCACCTTTCCCCACCTGTGCCCCATCCTACCTGTCTGGCCCTGGTAGCTGTTTCACTGAGGATCCTAAAAAAGTGAAAGTGAAGTCACTCAGTCATGTCCAACTCTGCGACCCTATGGACTGTAGCCCGCCAGGCTCCTCCTCCATCCATGGGATTTTCCAGGCAAGAATACTGGAGTGGATTGCTATTTTCTTCTCCAGGGGATCTACCCGACCCAGGGATTGAACCCGGGTCTCCCACATTTCAGGCAGACGCTTCACCCTCTGAGTCACCAGGGATCCATCGTTCCTGAGGTGGTTTGATCATCTGCTCCTGGCTGAGCCTGTTCCCTGCACTGGGTCTCGTTCCCTATTCCTCCAGCACTTTTCCCCCAGCAGACAAACATGCCTTAATTTCTTGCATCATAAGAAAATCCCCTCGTCCTTAGTCTTGCTGGTTTCTCCTCATCCTTAATCTTCGCAGCTGCTGACCACGGGTACACCCTGTACCACTTTTCTGACTATATTCATTCGCTTGGAGCATAAAAATGAGAGGCTGACTCCTGTGGCTCACTCTTCTAGCCACCCTGCCTCTCACTTTACTGCCTCAAGCTTGTCATCCCCAAAGTGAGCTCTGCTTTGCTCCACCCTGTTCTCTCATCAGTGGATGGCAAGTCTGTCTTCCACTTGCTTAGGCCCAAACTTTAGATTCATCTTTGATTCCACTTTTTTCCTCATACGCTGAATCTGATTTATCAGCAGATCCTGTTGGATCTGCCTTCACAATAAA